AGAAAATAGGACAGTCGCAGAAAAGTTCAGCTCATCTGAGAAAGTCTCTCTAACCCTCTCTCTCCTTTAACTACTGAAGGAGCATAAGCCCTTCTCTTGGCAACCTTAGCAACATTCCTAGTTAGGCGGGATACATCTGTGTCACAATATATTCCCTCTGAAATTAACTTCTCCATCAGCTTCTGGGTCATTTGTGGCAATAATTTGTGATTCTGGTTTTTAACTATGCAGTCTGAAAGGTCAGACCACCATATGAATCTCACCTTCCCCATTTCCCATGTCAGTGTCTGAAACTACTTAGGGCATTTGCTACTTAACATGTATGGGGACAAGAGTTTTGTTAGATGCTTTCCTTATTTAAGATTGGATTAAGGGATTCTAGACCCATAAGTACATGGGTCTCTCCATGCTGTCTTGGAGAGAAGGGTCTTTACTTCTCATAAATGAAGAAGCAGTGGTATGAAGCATTCTGCATTTCTCAGACACAGCAGTATTCAATCAGAAGGAAGGCCTCTCTGCCTGTCAGCTCAGCATTTTGCCACCAGAATATCCAGATATGGTATCTGATTTTCAGAAATGAGAGCTTCATTTCTAGCATTCAGAAATGATGCATCTGTTCTGGGTGGGAAAGCCAGCTGAGCCTGCACTGAACTCTGTTCCTCTTGTTACACAAAGAATCAAATGTCAATATGATGCAGTTTCACTGCCTATAGAATAACTGGTCTGGTAAGGGCAAGATGAAGCGACAAGTTCACATCCCTTACAGATGTTTTTTTCAAAACATTCGCGAAGCTTCCATGGTTCTTCTTGCAAAATAAAATCTGGAAATATTTTGGAAAGTTCAAGTTTTAGTTTAAGCACTCAAGAAGCATGGGTCAAATAGCACATACGTATTCAGGTAGCCAAAATAATTTTCAAAGGCAGAAAAATCCCTTTCACTCATTAAAAGAAAAGGTTCCTAAATACTAAAGATAGAGAAAATATATTAGTCAGTGCAACTTAGAATATAAAACATCTTTCTCTAGAGCCTTAACATGTTTCTTTTAAAAGGTAAGATACAAAGAAATAGAAATACAACTGCCAGGATGAAATCTTTATCCAATGTTTTCTGATGAAATGAAAAGAGCTGCTTTCCCTTTTCATAGCATAAAATTTTCATAAGGGTAACACTTTTCAAGGAAAAAAAGCCTCATTTGTGTTTCTTTCTTCATTTTTTTATTGACTCTGTAAGCAGACATTCTAAAACAAGGTGTAAATGAGGCTTTCCATGATCAAGCTAGCTGAATATAAATAGGAAGGGTATTAAATGGCAAATATACAAACAGCATCACAGTTGGCTTCAGGCCTGTCTCCCATTCCTCACTAATCATGCCGCAGCACAATTATATATAACTGTTTATTTATTTCTCTAAAAGCATGTTCAGGCATTGAAAAATGAAGACTAAGAACACAGCCATCCCTCCTTGAATGTGACTGGCATTGTTATACTGCTTTTGTTTTACTTTTCACAGTAAATTAATTCTGAAAACACTGCCAATGAGACTCTTCACTGTCACTTTGACAGGCCCTCTCTCAGATCTGAGAGGGTACACTCCACAGCAGCACTGGCATGACTTGGATGCTAAGCATCTGAATGCTCATATAGGCTGATTAATCAACTATAAAATCACTGGAAAGGTTAGGCTGAGCTACTTCTTTTTCCATTACATGGGTGAAAAAAATTCCTTTTGCCCATGTAGAGCTAGCGAGTGAGCTAGTCACAGTGAAGGAGGGAGGTCAGGAAGGGCACATGAAAAGTTTCTGTAGATGTTGGCTTTTGTCGTTCTTAAAAGTCTGCTTTTCAAAGAATAATTTGATAAGAAAGAGAAAAATATTTTACTTTTCAGATTTCCAGTGAGAATTATAGCTTGTCCAAACAAAGTTAAAATGAGCTTTTCCTCCTTGAAATTTTTTTTTTGTTGGTTTTTTTCCTCCATTTTCCTAATAGGTTTAGTCACAGATGTAATAAATATGCTCATGCAAAATATTAATGAGAAGTAATTGGTGACAATGGTAAAGCAGAAGGACTTCATTTTCAGACTTTAACATGCTAAACTGGTATTTAGAAAGACATTAGCAAATATGATGTGAAATCATAGTCACAATTGGATTTTTACAAAGGTATTTTTGATGTGGAACAATTTTGTCACTTTAATTCTTCAAAACAACAAATATCCTCTGTGTACATTTCTGTTAGTATTAAGGTATTGCTAAAAGAAACCAACTGTTTAGTCTTTGACAGCTTAGATTTTAATGTTTACAAAATTACTATCTGAAAATTTTATACAAGGAAGCTTTCTTGCAACATGTAGTATCTGCCAATCCTCTTCAATAGCGTTGTCTCATTTTGGCAACTGTACATAACAAGATTTATTACAGCAAATTTGCATAGCAATAGAACAATCTGGGCTTGACACACAAGGTACTGATTAGGTTCAATTTACCTCTCCAGCCATCTTTTTGTTGTTCTTAGAACTTACTTATTCATATCATTTCATGATTTAAGGAACCGAATAAATTATAAACATATCACTGCTGGACTGAACTATTTTCTAATTCCAAATTTTTTTTTTAATGTAAACTGTTATTTGTCCCTTAAGAATTTTAAATAAAAGATAATCAAAATAAGCCTAGTCACAAAGGGTAACAAGTTTTAATTGACTGTTGTGGTTTAACCCGGCAGGCAGCTAAACACCACACAGCTGTTTGCTCACTCCCCTCCGAGTGGGATGGGGGAGAGAATCATGAAAAAAAGAAGTAAAATTCATGGGTTGAGATAAAGACAGTTTAATAGGACCCCGAGCAGTGGTCGCCGCCCCACGGCCAACTCCCCCCAGTTTATGTACTGAGCATGACATCACATGGTATGGAATAGCCCTTTGGCCAGTTTGGGTCAGCTGTCCTGGCTGTGCCCCCTCCCAGCTTCTCCCTGACAGGGCTTGAGGAACTGACAAGTCCTTGACTTAGTGTAAGCACTGCTTAGCAACAACTAAAACATTGGTGTGTTATCAACATTATTCTCATGCTAAATCCAAAACACAGCACTGTACCAGCTACCAGGAAGAAAATTAACTCTGTCCCAGCTGAAACCAGGACATTGACAATAATACTGTATATACTGTCTTAACTCTCAAACCTCTAGAGCACAGAAGCAAAAGCCAGAATAATAACCCAAAATAGCTCCAGACATTTGTATAGCAATCTTACTGATATATCATCAGAATAAGACAAGCAATGAAACTGCAGATTTTCTTCTTTTCCAGGGAAAAGAAAAAACTTCCACTAACTTCAAGAATAATAACAACACTGTATTTAACTCAAAATAACTGATGACTTATTTTAAATGTGATCATAAGCAGTATACAGCCTCAACCTTAGCTGCACAATGTATATCAACCCAAGGTTTCTTAAAGTAAAACACAAACATTACAAATTACTGATGAGGAAAGTAAAATGCTGAAGGAATTAATTTTATGAATCATTAATAATAACAGTGTTATTAACCACAGAATAGATGCTTAACTGTTCATTTCTTCTAGACACGTACTACAGAATTACAGTTTATACTTGCAAGGGCTCAAAACTGCGAGAGGATGTAGCATTGCTCTGCTGCAATACTGAGGACAGGCATTTATGGGAGCTGTGAAGAAAAAATAATGTTCTGAAAAATTTGCTACTCTGTACAGAATTTGAACTAGCTTAGTAGGTTCTCAGTGAATATAGATTAGAGATTTCTTGCCAGGAGATGAAAGCAGTGTTGGTATAAGCAGTGATTGTTCTTTATTTAAAATGTTCCCAGTCTTTATTTATATATTTATTTAAAGGCTTTAAAACAATTCTTAGTCGAAGTCCCAAAATCATATAATGACATTTGACAGGAACAAAAGAAAAAAAGATGAAAAAGCAGCATTACTGTGGAGCATGTTACATCTATGTAGGGGTAGCATACATGCCGTATTCTCCACTTTCCAATGTGTAGATTATCTGTGGTCAGTTTAACCTTAAATGTCAGGATATCCAAAATACTAGTTTCGATAGTCTTTAGTGTGACTGGAAGATATTCTCTATTGCCGATATTTGTTCCTAGTCTGTATTTCAGCTTAATAAATGTTGACGTTTGTAGGAGTGTACAATGGGAAACCCGCCTCTGGCTATTTATTTTATGATCAGTTATTGTAAATATAATATAACATTAAGTGTACCTTAACACTCAGATCTACATGGCTGTATTTAATAATTTATTTTTCATCAGAAAATATGATTTGTTGATACTGATGGTGTTTGCAGAAATACCCAACTCCAATAGCTACCAAGTGTCCAGGCCTCTTACCTTAGATGCAGAAGAGTCAAATACCAAAAAAGTTAGTTACTTACCTGATATTGAACAAAGATCTTAAAATAATCCCAGTTCAGTCACCAATTTTAGTATGAGAAACCTCCATTTAAGTCCCAGTACAAATCAGAATTTTTTTAATCTAGGTTTTCCAGGGTCATAAGTGAATGGTCTCTCCAAACCAGAGGTAACGTAGGAGTAAATAATGGGTTGTTTGCCATTTAAAAACAAAACAAAACCTGATGACAGGTCTCAGCTTGTCCCAAAGAGGAAGAGGCAAGTTTTCTAAAATAACAGTGAAAATATTAGTAAGAAAAATATTTCTTGCCCAGTACAGCTGAAGGCATTACACACTTTTAGTCCTGTCCCAAACAGCTTATGTTGCTGAGAGAATAAGGTTTCCCATTCAAATGTTGGAATTAATTGCTCCTAAGAGTTACTTAGTGATTAACCAATATAGAGAACATTTCTAACACTCTGTTCTCCTTTGCTATGATTTTAACCACTAAACTGAAGTATCAGAAAATATTAAAGAGACAAAAACCAAATAATAAACATCACAAGGCACTACAAATATACAAAACATGCTGAAATTGTCCTAAGTACAAAAGCTTTCTTAACCACTTACCCAGGCACTGACGCATCTGCCGCAAGTGGTGATTTTGAAATCCCCATAGAGATCCTTGATGGCACCAGTTGTAAAGAATCCTTCCACCATCAGCAAAATGCCATATACAAAGAATGCAGCTGCTACACCATATATCACATACTTGAAGATGTCAATCCTGTATAGGAACAGCAAAAATTATTTATCTGCATAAATATTTAAAGCTGACTCTGAAATTTCAGGGTGAGATAATCAGACCCACTAAGCCTCAGAGTTTCTACGCTGGAGTCAGCTTAAGTGCTGATGTGCTATAATGACAGCTGAAGCTGAGGACATGAGTGAACTTTGGAATAAAAGAGCATTGATATAAGAAACACTGGGCCATTTAATTTAATAAAATGTAAAAATGGATCTGTGTAGGTAAGACAGCACAATTTGTCAGAATAATTTAAAAGTCAGTTAATTTTCATTTTATTTTTTCCTCTAAATAAATTGGCAAAGAAAAAAGAAAAAGGAAACAAGAATCTGACACATCTCCTGAGTAACACATTGTATCCAGCACTTAGGTTATAGAAAAGATATTTTGTCACAATCTTCAATAAAACTTTCTACATGTCCAAGTAGTTCTCAAGCTTCCTTGCCAATCTGTGCTATCTTCTCATTATTTTTCCACTTATTCTCCAATGGACAAAGTGTCTGACACAGAATAATAAAGTCATCAAGAGAGATCCCTTACTTCAAACCAGAAACATGTTAATATGAAAGTAATAAGGTCAGATCATCTGGCATTCTTCTATAATGGGGCTTTAAAAACATCATTTCACAGACCCAAAGCTCAAGACATGGAAGGACGGCTTACAGTGTAAGATGCAGAGCCCTAGAAGGCTCAGTTTATTACAAAGATTACTTGGGTTGCCATGTGGTTGTCCTGCCCAGCAGTGTCTAGAAGCTCAACAGTGGCCCAAGGAGGCTCTGCCTCCTAAATGTTCTCTCATGACCAGGGTTTGTGAAAAGATGTTTGAAAGCACCTCTCTGCTCTAAGTGTTTTGTCTAAACATGGAAACATTCCTAGTGGCCATTGCCTTGGATCAGCAAGTTTCAATGTTTCCTACTTGGACTTCTCTCAAAAACTAGCCACAGTAAGCTTCCAGTTTATCAATATGACATAGCAGGAGTAGTGCAACTCTTTAGAAAATGGTAATATGCAGGTTTAAGATGTTAGTAAGTTCCAGTCATATTGTCCAGGTCAAGATAGCAACAACTCATAACAAAGTAGGACAAAAAATAAGCCAGAGACCCATTAGGATCTGCAAGATGAATGTTGACATGGACCAAACAACGACCCAAACTGGATGTTTCTCAAGTCATAAAGATTAATACTTTTATTGTTATAAAAAGAAATATTTAATGATAATATTTCTTTAGGATCACACTTTTCATCATCACCCAAAAGACAACTCTCAATACATGTTTTACATGTACAATACAATAACAGAGCTCAAAACCCCATTAAAATATCTTTGAGTTTGGATGGTTTTCAAGAGATTCAAAGCCGGATTCGAGTTTACAGTTGATATTTCAGATGTATGCCTGTGTCTACAACTTCACTGAATGTATCTTAAACTTGCATTAGTCTCATAAAAACACAGTTAAACTCATGACCTGATTGGGGGTAGGAGAAGTATTATAAATGAATGCTTTTGGCACCTATTGTAGCATTTTTTCAGAAGGTGATAACTGAAGGGTTCTGGGAACGAGACAGGATATGTTTTTCCCTAGCATTCCAATAACAAAGCCCTCAGCTTTTTTCTACATCACTTTTTCTTTCATACTCAAGTGAAAACTAGGGTAAGTTGATATTTGTACAGAATAAATACATGAACTATTCAAAATGGTGAAACAAATTTAACGCTATAGACAGTATTAGATGATGCAAAGATGAAATTTATTTTAATACATATAATTGCTGATTACATTGTAAAAATCCCATTTCCCTAATTTTATAGTAATTCAGGCAGTATAACACTGTTTTAACAGGAAAATGATGTTTTGAGCCTATCTTGTCATTATTGATGAAAATAAACTTAAAAGAAACAAACAGACAGCAATTTTGTGACTATTCCATAAGATCTCTCCCAATTCCTACGTTATACACCTTATAAAATTGTGACCTCCATGAGTGGCTGAAGTGCGAGAGTTCTGCCAGCAGCATCTCTTCACAGACCTCAGTGTGCTCAGTGCCGTGGAAATTACAAGCTATCATTGCCCTAAAGAGATTAAGGCTTTTGGGAAGTCCAGAGAATATTTCAGCCCTTGCAACAGCCCTTTAAACCATCTGTGCTGAGCCTCCCACTGAGCTGCTTGTACCAAAAAGTGCACTAAAAGATTTCTGCTTTTTCCTCAGCCTTATGTGTAACTAAAGGAATAGCTTTCACTTAAGCCTTCTACAAGGAAAAAATATATATAGCTATACACTAGCCAAATATAGAAATCAATTTCTTCCTCGTACACTCTCTACAGAGAAAAGTAGTAAAATCTCTACTGATCAGACTACATGAGATGAAATAGCCAGACTTACTCCAAGGAGAAAGGATCTTGTATAATGCAAAGAGTAAAAGTATAAACAAAAATTGTGAAACAATCATTCAACTACCTCTTTAAAAGTCAGATTGTATTAGATTGCAATACAGAGTTGTACTGCAATATAACTACATTTAGTGTGTGCTGTATTTAAAGAAAACCTATTACAACAGTAACATTTTATATATATATAGTTGCGAAGATAGTGTTGGCATTAAATTATTCTGCTGCATCTAATAAATTTCACATAAACTTTCATTTTCCAAGGAAATTATAATAGATAATGAAATATAGGCCTTGTAAAATGCAGATTGCCTTTCTTTAAAATAAAATTTGATTTTTTGTGGATGAACTCAGGGAGATTAATTGCCATCTGTGTTTCAGCAAAGTCTCAAATGCTGCAGACAGCACGAGAGCAACCAGAGAGTTAGAAGGGAATGGTGGAAGGGGTGATGAACATGAGCCAATGAGCAAGGTGGGTAAGGACAAAGAAAAAGGACAAGCAGGGCTTACACTTGTGTAGGCTGGAACAGAAGGAAAGGGGTGGGTAAGGAGCAAAGGAAGAAGAGAGAAAATTATAACGATAAATTTTGTACTCCTGAGAGGATTGGAAAGATATACATTAGGTGAGGACTAAAGCTACACTACGTGAGAAGAACAAAAAGAAATCTTGAATACCTATTCACTAAATGCAAGACTCCCATGAATATTATATAATGATGTAATTAAAGCATTAAACATTTCTATTGAAAGGCAGTCAATGAAGATTGCAAAGATAAACCTGATTTTAACAAATTCACGTTGATCATGCAATCTTTACATATTAACCTAGGTTGCTGGGTAGAATAAGCTGAATGATTATCAAAACGTAAATTAATTGTGAAAAACATCTTGAAATTAGTAAAAGTCTTCTTTTTATAGAATAATCTAAAACATATTTTGCATAGTTTCTTAATCTTGTAGAGGTTCCATGAGTTCCAGATCTGATCTTCCTCGCAACATTATGTTCAGAAATGTTAAAAACACAAACATTACTGTTTTCAGTTTGTGATTTAAATCAAGCTGATCTTTCAATTTTTAGTTCTTTTTCTGCTGCTGGGTCATTAATTATGCCATATTAAGCAGACTTGCTAATTCATTAATCTGAATCTGGATTCTATCCAACAAGATGAATATTAAAATAGCTCTAGAGAAAACACTTGATTCCTCTGACAGAAATTATTGATGGAAGCCATCAATGCTAACATCTTAATGAACAGGTTGTAGCTGAGTACAGAGTAGACTATCCCAGCAGAGACAAGTCAGAGGTGAATGAAAACATTCTCAGTGAGCCAGATCAATGTTGCAGATTTCCTACTGTGTATTTTCATGGTGCTTTGGCAAATTCAAGGATTAAAAAATAAAATAAATCAGCAAGCAATAAGATTAATTATTGAATTATCATGTCTATGTGTAACAGGCTTTTGTGAAAAGTGTGTTATAACAAATTAGTTATTATTTTGTTGTTGAGACTTCAATCGACTGAGCTCATAATTATTACATCCTATTTCAAAAGTATTTCAATATTCATAATTAGCTTCTGTTAACTGTGTCTAGAAGTAACAATGTTTTGGGCTTGAGGAGCTAGTTGCTTCACTGGAGTAAATCAGTACTGCTCCACCATAATAAATGGAATTACTGCCCCAACAGATAAGCCAAGAAGAACTGTTAACATTGACCCTTTATATTTTACTGTGTCCTAAAAGGAACTGCAAATTGTAGGAACCCTGAAGAATTTACACTATTCAGTCAAATCGCGGTACACTTTCTACCTTCAATGTTGAAGGTTGGTACTCAGCTAATGCACACCAATATATATTTTTCTATCAAAATTACTTGATACTGCTTTGGAACAATCTACATACTAGCTAGAGATATTTTTCTTTAATTTGTTTAATATAGGAATGCATGGCTGATATTTATTTGCAATTAACAGCAACACAAAAAGCCCACATTAGTTTGCCCTGTGACATGTGATTCTCATGCTGTCCAGAAAACCTTTTTATTCAAATAAAGTATGTGTACACTTCAGCCTGAGCAAGAGATAAAAGCCTAATATTATAGAGGTTTTGGTTGGCCTAGCCCACCAGAGTACTAGGTATTACTGTGGAACTAGTTTTCCAGCATTTATAATTCTGCCTCACATTTCTCTTCTTGAATTTATAACATAACTTCTCCAAGTATAGATAATGACATTCATATACTACAGGTGCTGAATAGCACATAATTGTCAGCAAACTGTACCTATACTCTCTGAATGCAAGTAAATTCAGGCAATTATACCCATTTCCAAACTAAGAAAACACGATAAGGAAAATAAAATACCGAAGCTATCAAAGTACTAAATGTTAGTTAGATTATCATAGTACAATTCCTAATTAAAAATTGCCTTTTTTTATAGCTGGCATAGACAATTTAGAAAGATCAGAAATGCATGTAATCACTACCATTGGGGTAGGTCAGTTTTGCTGGTTTTTGGGGTTTGGGGTTTTTTTTTCTTTTTTCTTTTTTTTTTTCCAGTCCAAAGGAACTTTGAATAGTTGATGTTCACATCTAGAA